GCTATATTTATGGGATAAAGTACACAATATCAGTCATAGAGCGTATGTAAATATAAAAGTGAACATTGAAGCTAACACTCAGAGGCGAGAGGCTGTTTCATTCTAGACGCAATAGTCAGGCCATGTGTACACACACACACACGCACATATATATATATATATATATATATATATATATATATATATATATATATATAAACCAACGGCTTCCTATACTTAATACTTCTCGTTTTCACGCTCGCGTGCGCGTGGTCATGTGTGATGTCATGAACTGCAGTGCGATTTTCGCTTCAAGCGTCTTATATGCACGAGTTTGTGGTTGCTTAGAAATCTTCCATGCAAAACAAAAACAGACTATCAGTATTGTTTTGTCCGTGTATTGTTTAATATATTGTAATGTAATTGTCATCTTTGATAATGGCTTATGTAAGCCGAAAGCTTAGATAAGATTTAAAAAAAAAAAACATATGTATCAATATGGTGATTTTCTTTCTTCGTTTAATGATAATGTTATTAAGCTTATCAGACGATATGAAAAGAATTTACATAAAATAAACTGACAAAACTTGTCTATATTATTTAATGAAACAAGCATCAATATATATATATATATATATATATATATATATATATATATATATATATATATATTGTATATTTGGTAGCAATTCTTCCTTTATGCATGTTTCATTAAAAACGGAAGACAAGGTACTACGATCAACCTTTTTATTTAATTTTTCTGGTGTTCAAACAAGAACTTTCTTTTTTGGACAAAGTGTGTAAAAATTGTCCAAATGTTTTATAGTGCCGAGCGCTTTCGGCTATACCTTTAGACATTATCAAGGATGATTCGATTTTTAGCTTAATTGAGTGTGTGCATTATGTGTATGTTTTAGTGTGTTGTAGAGCTGTTTTTAATTTCCGAATACGGTTATCAAATTGTGGCCTTGTTCGCAGTTAATATTGTTAAGGGTTGGCTTTTTCTTTTTTTATAATTAAAGCTTGCATTATTTTTAATCTTTTTTTACAGGTGGATGAAGTTATTATATTTGTGTTTTCTACTAGTATGTTTCTAATGGAGTCTGGTAAGTTTCTCTGTGTGTTTAAATGGGTTCTAATGGAGCTGTGATCAGATAGGTGTAACGTAAGGCGTCTGGATAAGCATGTAGTTGCGTAACCGATGTAATTATTTATGAGTCCGATTTGATCAGGAACACAGTCTTCAATGAAACATGCATATATATATATATATATATATATGGTTACCATTCCTCATTATCATTCTTTCTGTTTAATTCTCCGCTCCCGAGAACAAGAGAACACACCAAAATTTCCATTGATACCAGAGATTCTCTATCTCCCGACAAATGTATTGAGATTTAATTCATCCGCTTTGATTACAGTTCATACTTTGGTTGGTGTAGGGCTCTGGTCGGTTGAGTTGCGGGTGTCTGCCGCACTAGACCATTGATATCACGTTGACGTGCCGAGGAAAGTGCGCTCTACGACGACCTAGGCACCGAAAGACATCTGCTTCCACTCTACGAGCGCTGAATGGAATTGCCACTGACAAACAGTCACGTCAGCCTTTCACGCGTCTGACCTTTTGTGCTCCCCTCGGACAGAAGACATAATTTCTTCACTGTCTGGCAAATATCGAGTTTGCTTTCTGCCCCAAAATGTTTAGGTTTCTAGTTTTATCTCGAGTGAGAAAAGCTACACCCAGTAAAGCATCCGAATAGAAGAACTGCGTGAACATAAAGTCCGTATCGGATGGTGTTGTAGCGTACCTACGGACGATAATGGGTTATGTCCCCATTCACATAAATACAATAGTAAATACTGTATGTTGGTCTGCAGTTGGAGATTTGTCTCCAGCTGTGCTGGTCAAATTCTCTGCCTCCGGGCAGAGAGAATACCCAGACGAGGCTATGTCGAAGGGCCTCGGGAAACAGCTAGCCAAACCCGTTTTATATGGGATCTACAGGGAATTATTGGACGAGCCTTTCGAGCTCGGATAGCCCACATTAAATTCGGCCTTGTGCCACATCTGACCGCTTGGGGCGGTTGGTAGATATCCTGCAGTTGGAGATTCATTGTGGAATTCACTTTGACTCACTTCTAGCAGTTTACTACTACTTCTACGCGCCCCTGGCGAATCTTATATGTGTTGTTCTTGTTCTAAGTATTATCGTTCATTGCCAACCTTCGTTTGATTATTCTATTCAGTAAAATTCCCTAGGTTACAACAAATGGTATGTCTTAGGCACAGACCGGACGCTTCTCTTCTCCATTGGTTATGAATTAAATTGTAGGAGAGTAGGGTTATCTAACATTGGATAGAAATCAGTCTAAGTGAGAAAAAAAATCTTCGAATTCCAAACAGTGAATAAAGCAATGGGAAAATATTCTATTATTTTTCCCGAGAAAGCATAGCAATTCATAGATAAAAAAGAAAAGGAAGCTGTAGAGAGCCATGATCACCTACCTCCTGAAGATAGAAGGATTACCCAGAATTCCAAACTGTTGAGAAAGCAATGGGAAACTAATCCACTATATTTCCCGAGAAAACCAGGTAATTTACAGACAGAGGGTGCTGTGGAGAGCCATGATTCTCTACGTCCTGACGAGAGTATGTTAGTATAGCCGCATATGTGTTACAAATAGAAATAGCAAAGACAGCCTTGTACTAGAAGGTCGAAAGTGTTAGTTGAGGCATCGGGTTGACATAAAAGTGTCAATGTAAATGTCACAGCCAATCGCATCGAAGAATGTCAGTCTCTTAATCCCTACAGCAGACGCCTGCTCAGGCCCATTTTGTGATTGTTCAACACCCCTAGATCCCACCCGTGGTTTATGCTGCAACTATGCTGAGCGGACCTTAGTTACAGTTTCTGGGAGAAAGCATGTTATCTAGCATGATCAACTGACAGAGCAAGGCTAACACCTTCAAAGCCTCGGTCACGATGATTTGTGACCACGAGCTAGCACGACCACAGGCGGTTCCCATCCTGTGGTATGATTTTCAGGCTGGGATCGCCTCTTTCCGACCGATAACATCGTTGTTAACTTATATATATATATATATATATATATATATATATATATAAAAGAAATATGTTGTAGTGGTTCCAACGAGAGAAAAGTATGTATATATTAAAAGAAGAGAAGAGAGGTGCCGCAAACGTTTTGGTTGTAATGTGGATTTATTTAGAAAAATATTATGCTTTGTTTTACATAATTTTACGACACGCGTTTCTGGTCTCGCGACCGTCTTCAGGTCTCATATCGAGAATATTTAACATTGAACATAAGGAAAAATTAATTATTTTTAATAATATATGGAAATCTCCACTTTTACCTGAAGACGGTCGCGAGACCAGAAACACGTGTCGTAAAATTATGTAAAACAAAGTATAATATTTTTTTCTAAATAAATCCATATTACAACCAAAACGTTTATATTTCTTTTAATATATATATATATATATATATATATATATATATATATATATATTTTAATATAGGATATTAAATTCAAGCGTATATGTAAAACTACTACATAAATCCATTCATGTTTCGATGTATATCACACCATCTCATCAGGCGGTGTTAATGAGGGTTATTACAATTTTAATATTTAGTTACATACAATCTCTTTTCCAGCGGAAAAAGAAAAATAAAAAACTATATATATATATATATATATATATATATATATATATATATATATATATATTATTATAAGAGATTGTAATTAAGAACATTTTATATATAATTATGTATAGCTGACCACTCGTATGCGAGGATACCTATCTACTTGGGCAGCTCCCCAATTCCTATTGCAGACACTCGCCCAGGCACATTTTTGTGTTTGCTCAACACCTACAGAACACACCCGTGGTTTATACTGCAACAATGCTGAACAGACCTTAATTACAGTTTCTTTGAAATAATGTGCTGTTTAGCCTGAACAACAATTTGCTCAAGCCCTCGGCCACGATGACTTGTGACTTCGTGCTAGTACGGCTATCGATGGCCTCCAAGCATTCCATCTACCTTCACAAGGCTTGGGTCAATATATATAATAGTGTTATATATATATATATATATAGAGAGAGAGAGAGAGATAGAGAGAGAGAGAGAAAGAGAGAGAATGAGAGACAGAGAGACAGAGACAGAGACAAAGAGACAGAGAGAGACAGAGAGATTTCAAATGTTTTCTTTCGAAGGGTTTGCATTTTAACTAGCATTTATGTAGCATTTCTTTATTAATGGTGTTTTTATGGGTTGCCTTGTTTTGACGGTTTATCAACCTTTTGCAGGTTATTTATAGCCGAAACATATTTTTGTATTGTAAGAATAATTCTTTTTTTTTTCTGCGAGTGAATATAGAGAAATAATTATTTTGAAAAACCAGTTCTACTATTTAACCCATAGCCAGGGAGAACGGGTGAATTCATACCTTTCCCAAGGGTATTTGCGCATCTGGAATTCGAACTCAGTTCTCAAACTTCTCATTCGGGGCCGTTATCCATTTCACCACCTGCACACCCTAGATTACGTCACCTGTTATTCCCAAGCGGTCATTATTGACCAGGCTCGACGTTGCTTAACTTTCCTAAGAGAACCAGTTTTGTCAATGGAATATGACCGTAAGTTAATGGTATTTTTAATTTAGATTTCTTGGCTAACAGGGCGGTTCAGGAGGCCGACATGTGCCGACGGTATTTCACACCAACGTATTTTCCGATTAACGCCTGTAAATTTATTCGAATTTCATCTTTCTTTCTTTTTTTCTTTTCTTTTATATATATATATTTTTTTTATTTTTTTTTTGAAAACCTAATTCGCAATGATTAATTAATTAAATAAGTGCGTCAACTGGAAATCATTTTCCGCGACAATCTGGCGACTGTCGCGATATGTGGATGATGCAGGTTGTGTGTAACGGTGTCACAATTAGTAGAGAGCCTTTGTAAAGTTGCAAAGGCGAGAATATGATTGCATGGGGGAGAACTGATCTATTACAGGCCGACCGCCCAACTAACCAATCATTACCAACTGCTCGGTTGAGAGGCAGGCGACTCTTTCTATGCGATGAGTAAGTTTGCCCGTCTCGCGCCAACATCCAGCCCGCCATCCAGAAAATGGCGGTCTATGCCTGACACAGTAGTAAATTGTACTGTTTAGTACAAGTCACGTGATCAAGGTGTGGACATGTTTATCACGGAATGGGTTGAGTAACGGGAGGTTGGTGTCATTCGAAAGTCGGGGGAGAAACGGTTTAAAATTTGAAAGTAGATTCCACCATGGAGTAATAACAATGGAAGGGAAAACAAGCGAAGCGGATAGCAATTTTAAATCTCGCCTTTTCTCGTTTAAATAATCTTATTTCATTTCCTTTTGTTTACTCTTCTCGTCTTTGTTATTCACTGTTCGCTCCCACTTTCTTTTTTTTTCTCAAGCTTTCCGTCTTTCTTTCTGTCTTCCTGTCTCTCTCTTCCTCTCTTTTCTTTCTTTTCGTTTTTTTTCTTTCTATCTTCCGTTTTTCTTTCTTTCCAACTATTTTTCATGTATTTCTTTTATTTAGTATTCTTTATTATTATTTACTAAGATTCTTTCTTTTTTCTTTCTCTTTTTTTCTTTCCAACCTAACATTTCTTTCTTTCTTTCTTTCTTTCTTTCTTTCTTTCTTTCTTTCTTTCTTTCTATTCAGCCCAGTCTTTCTTTCCTTCTTTTTCTTTTTCTTTCTTTCTTTCTTTTTTCTTTCTTTCTTTCTTTCTCACTCTTTTTCCTTTCTACTTTCTACCATCCTAACGTTTCTTTCTTTCTTTCTTTCTTTCTTTCTTTCCGACCATTTCTTGTTATTTGTTAAGGTTTCTTTTATTTAATAAGATTATTTTCTTTCTTTCTTTCATTCTTTCTTTCTTTCTTTTTTCTTTCTTTCTTTCTTTCTCACTCTTTTTTCTTTCTACTTCCTGTTCTTTCTTTCTTTCGTTTTTTCTTTCGTTTTCTATCTCTTTTTCTTTCTTACCATCCTAACGTTTCTTTCTTTCTTTCTTTCTTTCTTTCTTTCTTTCTTTCTTTCTTTCTTTCTTTCTTTCCGACCATTTCTTGTTATTTGTTAAGGTTTCTTTTATTTAATAAGATTATTTTCTTTCTTTCTTTCATTCTTTTCTTTTCTTTTTTCTTTTTTCTTTCTTTCTTTTTTTTTTTTCTTTCCTTTCTTTCTTTCTTTCGTTTTTCTTTCGTTTTTTCCTTTCTATTTACCATCTGTTCTTTCTTTCTTTTTTTCTTTCTTTTTCTTTTTTCTTTCGTTTTCTATCTCTTTTTTTCTTACCATCCTAAGGTTTCTTTTATTTAATTTCTTTATTTTTCTTTCTTTCTTTCATTCTTTCTTTCTTTCTTTTTTTTTTTCTTTCTTTTTCTTTCTTTCTTTCTTTCTTCTTTTTCTTTCTTTCCTTTCTTTTTTTCTTTTCTTACCATCCTAACTTTTCTTTTTCATTCTTTTCATCTTTCTTTCTTTTCTTTTTTCTTTCTTTCTTTTCTTTCTTTTTTTCTTTTTTTTTTTTTTTTTTTCTTTTCTTTTTCTTTCTTTCCTAACATTTCTTTCTTTCTTTTCTTCCTAAATTTTTTCTTTCTTTCTTTTTTCGTTTTCTTTTCTTTTTTTTCTTTACTTTCTTTCACACTTTCTTTCTTTAAACAATAGTCTTTTCATTTTCTTTAAACAATCTTTCTTTCTTTTTTTTTTCTTTTCTTTCTTTCTTTCTTTCTCTCTTACCAACCTAGCTTTCCTTTTCTTTCTTTCTTTTTTCTCTCTCTCATTCTTTTTTTCCGACTTAGTGTTCTTTTTTCCTTTTTTTTTTCGTTCTTTCTATTTTTCTGATATTTCTTTCATTTAGTGTTCTTTTCAATTGTTTACTAAGATTCATTACTTCCATTCTTTCTTTCTTTTAAGGCTAGCCTTCCTTTTCTTTCTTTCTTTCTTTCTTTCTTTCTTTCTTTCTTTCTTTCTTTCTTTTCCCGCCTAACCTTTGTCCATAAAGATCTGTCAGACCCTAACTGTGATCTAATATTTAATAGTAATGTCTGTAAGGACCTTTGACAAAAGCCTGTCGGCTGCAAAGCCAACCAGCCAACTTACATAAGCCGACCATTACTATCTTATTACTACGCAGTGTGTTTCATTCCGACCAACCCGCTCTGCTGCTTGGCCATCATATTCGACTAGTAACCAAAGTCTGTTTTGACCACACCAAAATGACACGAGAATATGACAATATCCACTGTCAACGTCTTGGTTGGGTGGTGGTCTTTAATGGAGTTGAAACATTTATACCAAGAGATATTTAACCTAGGGGGATGTATTTGGAGGTTTGGAAGAAATGAGAATTTGCATATTCTTCTTCTACGTGCCGTGGCTCTTCAAGATCATGGCGCTCTGCAACTTCATGTCCTTTGTAGCTATAAATAGTGTTTGCCTTTATTACTATCCCACCTAAACGCTGTTCTGGTATCCAATTACACAAGTTGTCAGGTTGCTTGCTTCTTGCTTTGCAATCAGTATATCCTGTCAGTGTTAAAGTCTCCGAGCCCCCTTTCCTCATTATTATAAGACGCAGATGATTCTGGCATTACACAGGTTCCTTTTTTTGCTCTCTGTGAATTGCCCTAAAATCTTAGGAAGGATTTCGACATCGTTTCACCTTGTTTAGAATTCAAAGAAGTCTTTGTGCGGTGTGCAGGTGGTGTAATGGATATGGGCTCAGGATGAGAAAAGGGGGAGCCGAGTTCAAATTCAAGTCGAGATCCTTACATTCCCTTTTTTTTTTTTTACAATGATGTTTTGTTTTTGTTTAGCAGAATATCAAATTCTAAGGGTTATTTGATGCCAAAATCTAAATATTTTGTACGAAGTTTTTTTCTACAGTTTATCAACCCTTTGCATGTTATTTAAAGCCAGAAAATATTTTTTTTTTACATTGTAAGATATTTTTCTGGTGGGGAGATAATAAAAATAATTTAGTAATACAAATATTACTAATTAACCCATAGACGGAGGGAATAAGTGGCTTCATACCATTCCCAATTGTATTTGCGCGTAAGTAAATATAACAAACACAACTAGAATTAGAACTCGGCTCTCCGATTTCATAGAGACAATGAGGTATTATGGTGAATGTAGTAAGAAAGGTACGTATGAATGTGTTGTTTTGGTGTATGGAATATTGTTTGTACGATTGGGTCAGTGTTTGTCGCTAACTAAGTTATAGCTAAGACAGAAGAAGGCTGTCCTTTCTCCTATTCCCCCATTCGGCCTTGTGCCATATTTCTGTGTATTAAACAGAATAAATATCGCTCTCCGATTAACAATACCGAGCCATTACCCATTACGCCATCAGCACATCTACGCTTGCAGCACCTGGTATTCCCAAACAATCACCCATATTGCTACTGACCAGGCACCTGTTTTACAATGCAATATAGCTATAAGCCTGGGAGCCATTCGAGGTAGAGGGTTAGAGATTAAGAGGTATAGGAAGATAACGGTTGACCCTAAAATTGAACAGGTTAAGATTGTAGTGATCGGGGAAACATCCATTGGGAGTCGGCTTTACAGTGCAAATGCCATTGGGAAAGTTGTCAATCCATCTCTTCCTCTCTCAGCTATGGGTTAAATAGCAGACTGGCTTCTCTAGTCGTGGTTGGTACTCAGTCTAGCAGAAGCAGAACTCTGAATTCGAAACGGATGTGGCGCTGAGATCAAATCACAAGTTACCTTATCGCAAGGAATAGCTCCGGGAAGCCAGACTCTGACAGGGTTATGGTGAAGACATGGGCAACAAGTTGTTGGATGTCGCCAATAGCAGAATCTAACAGACCAGATATTTGGCACTGAGCATACCAAATGCCTGATCACGCAAAAGATCCTTCGGCAAACATGGACAAACGTACCTGCGATATTCAAGAGTATGAAGAGGAGGATTTTTTCCCTAAATAATGAGCAATTCGCTCGTAATATACGTACTATTGAAAAAAAAAAAAGAAACACAAGAGACCATTAGCACTTGTTTAGGCATCGGGAATTTAAACTATTGAAGTGTGTCCTATTTGAATAACGAAAGACGCCTTCCAGAAACTAAGTAAAGTATCCTATTATAATTGTGGTTGTCACTTCATTCGCTAGTTCGCACGACCGTTATGCCTTGCCAATACCTCATAAATAATGGACCGTTCCGTTTTGATCACGTAGAAAGAGGGGAAAAGAAACTACTTGATTTTAGTGGAAAAAATGAAAGAAGAAAAAGAAAGAAAGAAAGAAAGAAAGAAAGAAAGAAAGAAAGAAAGAAAAAAAAAGAAAGAAGGGAAGGTAGAATTGTTTAACGCAACCTTCTAATATTTCATAAATAATGGACCGTTCCGTTTTGATCGCGTAAAAAGAGGGGAAAAGAAACTACTTGATTTCAGTGGAAAAAAATCAAAGTTAGAAAGAAAGAAAGAAAGAAAGAAAGAAGGGAAGGGAAGGGAAGGGAAGGGAAGGGAAGGAAAGGAAAGGAAAGGAAAGGAAAGGGAAGGGAAGGGAAGGTTGAAGTGTTTAACGCCTCCTGCTAATACTTCATAAATAAAAGACTATTTCGTTTTGGACGCATAGAAAGAGGGGAAAATACCTTACTTAGTTTCAATAAGAAAAAGAAAGAAAGAAAGAAAGAAAGAAAGAAAGAGTGCTTAACGGCTGTTTCAGTGAAATGGAAACGTTTTCAATTTCAAATCTTTTCATTTGTACCCCCTTACTTCTTAAAATAACGACCAGCATTCATATTTATGATTATTATTGCAATATTTTGTTAAAGTTTTTAAGCTCAAATATTTAACGATGCAATAAGGGAATTTCTATAGATATTTTATTGTCGTAGAACTCGTCATGAGCTTATTCAATTATTAACTTAAAATTCATCAGACTATCAAAATAGGAAAAAAACATGAAATTTTCACGGGTTAAAACGATTTAATAGAAAATACGAGAAAGGGTACTGAACTGTTATGTAATATCTAATCTCTAATATGGCAGGGAATCAATCGTAAAAAGTAGGAAAAAATCTGAAGAATATGTTACCCTCTTCAGGCCACAGCATTTATCAGAACCAAAAACTGTTTATTTTTTATCGATTTAGAAGTAGGGGCTTGTTCATAATTTAGATAGAGTGTCAAATGTCATTTTTTTAAAATTTTAATTAGAATAATTTACAGAGTTTTAAATCTTTTAAATTCCTGTCTTACTTTGTGTAGGTTAGGTGATGTTGTTAATAAGTAAAAACTATATTTAATAATCATAAATGCTAAGGCTTAGAACAATTCATCGAACACCAATATTTTAAAAAGAATTTTGCTAAAAAATTTTGTGTGTATAAACGTGTCGATTTTAGTAAACACGGATGTCCATACGCGACATTATCAGAAAATAAACGCGATAACTATAGTAAATTTTAAGCCAAAGTAGCTAAAATTCAATAAAACATTAGATTACTGAAAATATTTTCATAAAATTTTAAGATTTTTGGGTAGTTAAAAATTATATAAAAAGGCGTCCACGTTATATTCCTAAATTAAATTTTACAGATACGTTTACCGCAGAAAAAAAAATGATATAAACTTCCGTCTATTAATCAAGCTGCCAACACCTTAAATAAACAGCTATTGCCGTGTTAAAAAAATGCATTTCTGCGATTTTTAAAACTAAAAGTAAGTAATATTAATTTAAAATCAGATTAATTGAACCTTTAAAAAGGAGTCGACCATAGTCGGGATTATCAAGTCAACGCGAACAATGCTTTCCTTAGCTGCATAGTATATACTTCGCCAGGGTTACATAAAGTTTTGAATACAGATTTTCCTTCTCCTAGACCGGTTGCCATCCAAGGCTATAGAACCCAGACTGTTAAGGAGTCGACCGTATTCGGGATCATCGAATCAATGCGAACGGTCCTTTCCTTAGCTGCATAGTATATGCTTCGCCAGGATTACATACAGTTTTGAATTTAGAGATTTCCTTCTCCTAGACAGGTTGCCACCCAAGGCTATAGAACCTAGCGTGTCCTACTATTTACCCATAGCTTGGGGAGAAGAAATGAATTCATGAGTTCTCCCCAAGGGTATTAGCACGTAAGTGAATATAACAAACCCAACTGGAATTGGAACTCGGCTCTCCGATTTCTCAATCCGAGACGCGATACATTACACTACCGTTAGGATATTTTATTTTTGATAAACTTTTTTTTTTATATATAAAGAGAATTATATCGTGATGAAAGATAGCTAAAAATGGCGCTAACATCAGCAATTTTAGCCATTTCGAAACGATAACTACTTCCAATCAATTTAAATTAGTTTTGAAATACAGCAAATAAAGCCATTTGAATTAGTTGTGAAATACAGCAAATAAAGCCATTTAAATTAGTGTTGATCTACAGCAAATAAAGCCATTTATATTAGTGTTGATATAGAGCAAATAAAGCCATTAAATTAGTTTTGAAATACAGTAAGTAAAGCCATTTAAATTAATTTTGATATACAGCAAATAAAGCCATTTGAATTAGTTTTGATATACAGCAAATAAAGCCATTTAAATTAGTTGTGAAATACAGCAAATAAAGCCATTTATATTAGTTGTGATATGCAGCAAATAATGCCATTTAAATTAGTGTTGATATACAGCAAATAAAGCCAATAAAATTAGTTTTGATATACAGCAAATAAAGCCATTTATATTAGTGTTGATATACAGCAAATAAAGCCATTTAAATGAGTTATGAAACACAGCAAATAAAGCCATTTAAATTAGTTGTGAAATGCAGCAAATAATGCCATTTAAATTAGTTTTGAAATACAGCAAATAAAGCCATTTAAATTAATTTTGATATACAGCAAATAAAACCATTTGAATTAGTTTTGATATACAGCAAATAAAGCCATTTAAATTAGTTGTGAATACAGCAAATACAGCCATTTCAATTAATTTTGAAATACGTGTTAAAATTGATTTCTCTGATATTGTAAACTTAAAGTAATATTGGTTTCAAATCAAAGTAGTTAAACTTTAAATCAGCTAATATTCCTGAAATAATGTTTCACAAAAGTATACTTTACTTCATGATTATTTTTAATAAAGAAAATTACATTTTGATGACATGGCTAAAATTGGCTAAAATTGGCTAAAATCAGTGATTCTTAGCGAATACAAAACAAATTTCCTTCTCAGTCAATTTAAATTGGTTTTGAAATACAGAAAAGTTTTTTTTATTAGAAATATTCAGTTGAAATTAGAACTAAAATAAAAAAGCTTCAAGATTTTTTATTTTGAAAAATTCATTTTAAAGCTTTGGTGTCGCTAATCTGTGGAGGTATTTAGTTTTATGGTGCCTTTACTGTAACGGAATATGCTTTCTAATAAATATCTGTCCATTTAATAATACAGTTTAGGTTCCAAGTTCGATTTTCTTATCGCCAGTGAAGAGATGGGTTACCGAACTTCTTCTGTGTGCCGTGTCCCTTCAGGACGTTGACAAGTTCCTGTCCATTGTAGCTCTTAGTAAATTTTGTCTTTTTGCTATCTCTCTTAAACCCTGTTCTGCTGTCCATCTACACACGTTAACCAGGTCGGTTATTGTTATATTACGTGCTAATAGGAATATATACTTGAAAAACAAAGTGGACAAAATAAGTAAAGTTTTCTTGTACAAAATCAGTACATTAAGAATAAAGGTAACAGTTATGCACAAGGTCGTCGCAAGTCAATCCAGTAGTGAGTGCTCCTACTGGAAGTTCGGTAGTTCTCGCGTAAGTCTGAGTCGTACTCAATAGATCCCAGCTAGTCGATATTTACCAGCCTCCCCCACGAGGTAGGATATGCCACAAGACAGAGTTTAATGTGGGGCAATCCAAGCTCGTATGCTCGGCCAAAATTTCCCAGCAAACCCCGCATAAACGGGTTCGAGTCTGTCTACCCCCCGTCCGAGATTCTGCCCTTTGGCATAGCCTCGTCCGATGAGGATATGCTGAAGAGCAGAGTCTCGTCCGGGTGCCACTCTATTTTCCAAGCCTTCTTTCCTCATTATAATGTCCGGCACTTTTTTTTCCTTGTTTTTAACGAAATTTTCCTGTTTCCTAATACATTGTGCTCGCGGCTATATCACGTTGTACGATCCCCGAAGTTAAGCAACGTCGAGCCTGGTCAGTAGCAATATGGGTGATTGCTTGGGAATACCAGGTGCTGTAATCTTGGATGTGCAAGTGGTGTAATGGATAAATGGCTCAGAATTGTTAGTCGAAGTGCAAAGTTCGAATTCCTGTTAGGTTCATTATATTCACTTACGTGCAAATACTCTTGGCAAAGGAATTAATCTGTTTTCCCCAGCTCTGGGTTAATTAGTAAGATTTGTGTCATTAAATCGTTATTATCTAAAAAAAAAAAAAAATGATAATCTAAAAGTATTTTCCGGTTTTAAATAACCCGTAAAGTGTTGATAAACCGTAAAAAACGAATCCATCAAGTAATACTTAGATTAGCTTTTGGAAGGTGTCTTTCGCTATCCCAATACGTCTTTGGATTTCAGGGTCAGGCTTTTCGTCCTCAATTAAAACTCGTCTCCGAAGCACAACAATTTAAATATCTTGTACCCAACTAGTGAATATTCAAAATGGATCCTTGAGCCGACGGCGAAGTAAATGTCGTTGAGTGTTCGTGGTTGTTGTCAGCGCATGCGTAATGAAAAGATCTCGTCAGTGAAATAAGATCACGTCACACTTAAAGTGAGAAGATGCAATCCAGCTTCCCTTTCTTTCTTTATTTCTTTCTAATTGTTGTACAACGCCGCCTGGCGGCGAATGAGGGCAGACGTTTGAAATCCACATATTTCGCGTCTGTCGACATATTTTGTCAGAATTTGCCGTCAAAAGTCGTTGACTTTCCAGTTTCTGCCGAATTTGCTTCAGGAATTGTGAAGGGCTGGGAATTGTGTTCTTTCGTCTACGTCGGGAGCGCAATTAATTCCCCACCTACCGCCACACACACAACAACAACCAGTCCACAATTTTAATCTTTGTATCCACAGACATTTACTCACGTCCACAATGGCATAAGACTATTCTAGTGTTATAACAAATAACGTACACGCGCGCTGAGATCTATCGTAATTCTTTCGTTAATTACAGCCGACAGCCGTCCACAGTGTGACAAACAATAAGGGGGTTTAGAAAACGAGATAAGACGAAATGCTGTTTCAGCATATCAGACACAAGCGACGGGAGTGTGGACATACATGTTATGCAAGAATTTTTGGTTGGAAAGTGTGAACTTGGTATCTGAGGAATAATTACTTGGGCTTTCGAAAAAGAAGAAGGATGCGTCAAAAGACGGTTTTTCCCTTGACACTATTCTTTTAAGTACATTCCATCCTTGCCAATGTCTATTCTTTGAAATAGCGATAATTAGAATAGAAATAAAACCTAAACATAAGATGAAAGTGAATTTATAAATCTCTTTTTGTTCTTGAAAATTTTCCACAAAAATACGAAACACTATTTATTTGTCTATATTTCTGAGATGAGGTATTATGTACAGTATTTACATTAGTCGGACTATTGTCCTCATCTTTGTCGCCATATTTGTCACAACGTTTCGGCCGTTGTACGCTCCGGCCTTCTTCAGGTGGTTGGAATTTCGAACTGAACCCTTTATTTCGATCACTGGGGTAGACTGTTCTAGTTCCTCAAGGACACATGGCACAGTGGATAAAGGCGTTGGTTAGATCCAGTGACAGACCCAAAGAAGGTGAGTTCAATGCCTGGTTAAGGCAGTGGAGAACTTTCAGAGGGAAAATTAGCAGGAGATAACTGATAACTGACATCCATCAAACATGGCACGTGGAACTTGAACAGTCTACCCCAGTGATCGAAATAAAGGGTTCAGTTCGAAATTCCAACCACCTGAAGAAGGCCGGAGCGTACAACGGCCGGAACGTTGTGACAAATATGGCGACAAAGATGAGGACAATAGTCCGACTAATGTAAATACTGTACACTATTTATTTATTAGATTACTAGAAGTAAAGCCCGGCGTTGCCCGGGGATGTAACAGTAAGAGATAGATCAAGTATCGACCATCATAAAGACTGAAAAATAAAATTGACAAAGATTATTGTTTAAGGTTGACGGACACGCATGTCTTCATTTGTTTTGTTTTTTGTTTTGTTTTGTTTTTTACGAATTGGTCAAACCCAAACTCAAACAAAAACATTGTTTTCAATCGTTATGAGTCTACCGATTGAATAGAATTTGATTATAAACAGTTGTCTTGTAAATGTAATTTTTAAAGCATTCTGAATGTAAAAATAAAGAAAAAAGTGTGCAAGACAATAAGAAACACTACCTGCCAAAAAAGAAAGGGAAGTTTTGTTGAAATCGGTTGAAAAATGTAGGAAATCCGAACCCATATATAAACGAACACACACACACACACACACACACACACACACACACACACACACACACACACACACACAACCTGGGTTTTATAATATGTATAACTCGATATGAGTTGTCCTTTCATTCTCGTGACAGCGATGCCTTTTAATCGTGTTTTCAAATTGATTTCGTGCAAAAACAATTGTTTTTCCAATTTTTGGTGCCGTCAGAACCACCGCAAGCTAATTTTACGTAGTCCTGTGAAGTTTTGTTGAAATCGGTTGAAAAATGTAGGAAATCCGATCAAATATATAAACGAACACACACACACACACACACACAACCTGGGTTTTATAATAAGTATGATTTACAAGAATAATTCTTTATTTACACTATGTGCCTCAAAGTGGAATTTATATATATGATCAATCAAGATATAGGTACAAATGTTCGGCTTCCAATACGGCTCCAGCAAGTACCTGACACCTAATACTATCCTCTACCGTTAAAAGAGCCAAATCAGGCCGAGAATGGATCAATGTTGTCATATTTGCGCGAGAGCTACCCAGTTCTCACATTCCAGTCTCGACTGAATTCAAAACCGTATTTGAGTCCTTGTGGGTAACAACTCTTTTTCCACCTTCAAACTTCTCCCTCACAGGCGAGATGTACTCTGCCGCTACTTCTATGTAAAATGTTCGGACGAACTACACCCTTGTCCAAAGTAATTGAAACAACCGCTTTAGTTTCGTTTCTTTAGACCCACTGGAGTGACAGGGTGTAATCGATTTCTATTTTATCTGCAGATTATGTCATTTGCAACGGTATGCAGTAATATGAATGTATTTTCGGGGTGTATGATGAAATTTGTTTGGCCTTGAAAAATATTGATCATCTGTGATTGCATCAGATTTTTATCACACCCAGACACTATTGTCTTGACTGTCGATTAGTTGTCCTACGGTCATTTTCTGCGATGAACGTTACACCAAGGAAGCGTACGAAAATCGTAACACTGCACAAACACACGGGAAAGCCTTCCCAAATCAAAGTACTATCGACTGGCTCGGAAACTCTCCTGATTTAAATCCAATCAAGAATCTGTTGCCAGTCTGCGAGGAACGACTTCGTGGAATGGACATACGAAGTACTAACATGTGCACTGGGTCATGTTTCATTGGAAAAATACGATAAAAAAGTAAATAATAACGGTATTATTCGTTTTTTTTTCAATTAATTTGAACAAAAGTTGTATATTCCTTGGTTTCGCCAGTCCTAACGCCATACCCCTTATATTGTAGCAAAGCACCCACATTCCTACCGTATTCCATGGGTGAGCAGTCAGTTCCATTCGGACAGTTTCTTCGTGTGAACTGCTGCTCTTTGGAACCGACTCCAAAGAGAATATTTCCCCGGTTACTACAGTCTTAACCTATTCAAGTTAACCGTTATCTTCACTTCATATCTGTATAAACTGCCCCTTAACACGTAACACTCTACCTCGAGTGGCTCCCGGGCCTTGTACAGGGTGAACCTTACTGTAAATTTTTTTTTTATAAAACTTTACTAAATTATTAAAATACTAACAGCAGGGCCGGCGTTGCCCGTGCTTGATTCAAAAATCGTACGACTCATACAGCAATCGCTATCACTTGACTTAAAATATTTTTGCCCTTCCTTGCCTTTAAAGGAGTGCCCTTTGCCGTGCTGATGTTGCTACATGCCTTACTTCTTGCCTATCTCACACTGCGAATTTTTTCTAAGCTCTATACTAAACATTAAATCTATTACGAAAAAAGAACTAAACAAAATGAACACAAAACGATCAGCTTTAAAAAAAGGACTCGTAACTGGAAAAACCGAATGAAAAAAGAATGTTAACAACAAATACTTTTTCACACCGAACCCAGTTCTGCGGAATCAAAATCAACGTTGAGTTTAAGCAAGCGAATGAGCCAATTGAAGTAAAGTGCCATGCAGATTTAAATTTTTCCCACTTGTGACGAATGCAGCTATCGATTTTTTTTGCATGCTAGCATGCTAGTTAACATTCGTGTCAATCAGCTGTTGGCTCTCACGCTGTCCAATAGAATCTTCCTGCCTATTCATGGCAGCCAGCTATAGGCTCTCACTCTGGCCAGTAGAAAATGGCCGTAAACTACATGAAAAGTGCCGTAGAAGCATGAAAAAATCGATTATTTCCACTATCGATGGGAGTTGGGAAATGCAATGCCGATCTTGGCCTTCCCGCTAACTTGGAGCATGTGCATGTAAATTTTGGTGCAAATCCGTCAAAAATTACGGCCGTGCATTCGCTACACAGACACACACACACACACACACACACACACACACACACACACACACACACACACACACATACACACACATCCTGCCTTTTATAAATAGAGATGTCAACCAACTGTAAGGAAAATCTTTATTATTTACCATTTTATAAAGTTTGAATTGTTAATCCAAAAGCTGAGTTTCAATTCCTGTTAGGTTCGTTATAACATTATATTTTTTATTTATCCTTTTATATCTTAGTGGTTTTATTGCCTTGCTTGTGGCAAAATGATTTAAGTGACATTATTTCATAAGTGATTTATTAGTTTTTTTTAGCTTGAAATTTAACAAGTCCAAATTTCTTTGCAAACAGTGAATCATATGTGATCAATAAAAAAAAAGTATGGTATAACATTAACGTCTTTTACTGCATAAAAATTATAAACAAAATAAATTTATCACTTGATGCATCATGAAACAATACATTTCATCCATAAATATGTGAAACTTACTATAGAAAATTTGCCAA